AATTAATTCGATTAAATGAGAACTACATGTGTCTACATACTTCATTGTAACGTATACAAATCCATTGATAATATATTGGAATTAATTATTGAGTTAGTCACTTAATCAAATAAACGGTATTTTCAAAGATATTAATTTTTTTTTTTAACAAGTGTGTCTTTTTTTTTCTTTTATGAATTAATTTGAAATTCATGTCTTTTGTGAGATTTGTATAAAAGTTGCTGTTTATCTGAAAAAAGAAACAAATAACACTAACACGTGTGAAGTGAAATTAATTTTTTTCTTAATTTTTATTTAATTTGCTTCAAATTATTATTTTTTAAACAAATACAATTTTTTAAACAAATTATTTTGTTCTTTTTTTTTAAATATTTGTATGACAAAATCATGAATTTCTTCATCATTCTTACAATTATAACAATTGTATATTGTTACGACGATGAAAAAAATATAAAAGTAAGTAAAAGATATCTATTTTAATTAATTTTTCTTTATAATAAAAATACGTTAAATTATTATTTTTTTTTTTGCAGAATTTTCTTACTGAAAATTGTGAAAAAATTCAATTAAACGCAACTCAACAAATTATGAAACAATTGGAAACAGTGGATAAAATTAAAATGGAAAATTTTCATCTTCTATGGATTTTAATAAATAATAATTTGGAAAATAATAAAAAATTCATTGAGCATCTAACAGATTTTATGTTAAAAAATGATGAAAATAAAAATTTTAATAAATTATCAGTGATAAAGGAAAATATTTTACTTTATTCATTAAACGAAACAAATAAACGAATTGGATATTTATTGTATCGACCATTAAATAAAAGGGAAAATGAATTAAATGAAAAATATTTTTTAAAAAAACAAATGGACATGTCTTTAAAAGTGAATATACTAAATAATTCACGGTCAATTAATCTATTAATTTCATCAATGAACAATAATTATGAAAATTTTTTTAAAAATTACACAAATGAATATATTAATAAATCGGAAATTGATTTATGGACAAAATTATTCATGAAAAGTCTCTCGCACAATAATAGAGGTTTTTTAAATTTTACCAAAGAATTAAAATTTTCCAAAGAAATTAATTGTTCAATAAATATGATATTTAATGATTTAATAGTTATTTTTCAGAAAATTGCTGATTGTATTTTTATTCATTATTTCAATTTAGAGGAGAATACAACGAATAATTTTATTAGTCAATTAACTGAGGCACATGTAATTTTAAATAAAGCAATTGATGAAACATGTGAAATTTTTGATAATGGGAAAAATGTCAACAATTTAAAAGCATTAATAACTGCTTTTAGTTTATTAAAAATTAATGTATCGGAAAATTATTTCGCCTTGATTGTAAAAAAAATGAATCAACTAAATTTTTTCTACATGGCAATGAATAAAACATTAAAAGCAAGTTTTTTATTAAATACAGTGAAGGGAATTATTGACAATGAAATTGGTGCTTCAATTTTATGGTATGAAAAATTAAACATTGGATATGTTACAGCATCACGAAGTTTGAGTAAAAATATTGAGAATAATATGAAGAGAAAGGTGAAAGAAATTTCGAAACATGTTAGTTTTAAAGCATTGAATTCAAAGGTAAAGGAGAGGGAATTAAAAAAATTGGAGCATCATTCATTTAATCGGGATTTAAGGAAAGAATGCGTGAAAATGAATGAAATATATAAATTGGAGATTCATGGAGATTTTATAAATTTTAAAGACATTCCAGATATCGAATTATGTAAGGGAGAAACAAGATATATTGAATTATTTGCTAGGAATCAGTTGGTAGTTGATTGTGATTTGATTAGAATTGGAGATATGGTGCAAGTTGTGGCAATAGCACCAAAGTGGATTGTATCGGGATTAAGGTGGATTGATTTGAGAGGTGCTTATGGTGAGGATTATGAGATGGAATCAGCTGAAGATGGTCAATTGGGATTGAATGGAGAAGACGGTTTACCTGGATTGCCAGGAGGAACCGGTGGAATATTCATTGGAATAGCTAACGAAATTATTAACATAGAAAATCTGCAAATTTTAGCCGACGGAGGTTTAGGTGGAAATGGACAGAATGGAGGAAAAGGTGGCAATGGACCGGTTACCAGACAACCAACTATTGATGATTATGATAAAGTTGTATTTTTTCAGAAAAAGGAAAAGCAAATAATTCCTCTATTTGAAGGATTTTGTTTTAGTTATTACTTTGATTTAATGACAATTTCATTTGGTGGCGATGGTGGTAATGGTGGTAAAGGTGGTATTGGTGGGAATCCTGGACAAATATTTCTTGTACAATTGAATAAAACATTTCAAGAGCATTCGCCAAAACAAGGTGGAATAGGTTACGATGGATTAGGAGGAGCTGGAGGTGTGGGTAATTTTAGAATTGAAAGTATAGAAGAAAAATGCAGTACAGAAATTAATGATTTTGTCAATTGTGAAAATTGTACCAAAGCCGAGAGAATAATGTTGGCTATTCATAATGGGAGTTTCGGTCAAGATGGAAGTAATATTCAGAATATAAAAAATCCGATAAATTTCTTAGGATTTAGAGAAATTGCTTTTGTTATAAATGATTATAAAACATACACTAGATGTTATTTAGATTCGAGGAATGAAGAACTTTTAAAATTTTATGCAAATTTATTAGAGAATGATGTTATTAATGAAAAATACAACACATTTGGATTGCTTGATGAACTAAAAGGATTGGAGAAACAATATTTGCATCTAATGAAAAAAATTGATTTACTACCAATGTATGAGAATTTACAGAAAAGAATTGAAAAATACATAAAACATGGTAAAAATTCTAATGAAGATTATTTTGTGGCATTGAATTATGCTTACACAGCGGCTTTAACAAGATCTAGTCGTTTAATTGAAACTGGATATTTTGTACCAAATTTGGAAAATTTTATCGAATCTGTATCAAGAAATCTCGACAAACTTAAGGACAATATTGTTCAATATACAGCTAATCAATTGGGTGAAGATTATAAGCAAAATATTGAAAAAAAAATTAGTGAAGCACGTATAATCATTGACGAACAATTAGACAATGAAATCAAAAGAATTAATAAATTGATGAAAAGAAAAATCTACGATCTAATTAGAGAAACAATTGATATGAGAAATGAATCTCAAGAAAAGAAGGATTCCTTAAAGAAAAATCTGATGCAACAAACAATTGTTACACTTTTAAAATCTGCTTTGGTAGGTATTTCTGCATTGATTCCTGGTGGACAAGCAGCTGCTATTGTAGCATTCACAGGAATTCAAATAGGCGAAACTTTTGCTCCACAATATTTAGAAGAAAGATATCAAACTAAAATACCAATTGCAGTGGGAAATCGTTTTGCGGGAGCTTTGGAATTTATCAAGAAATCAAAAATCGAGGAGTACAAAATTTTACAAAACGATATTGAATTTCTAAAAAATCAAAACGATAATCTAAATAATAATTTGAATGCTAATAGAACAATTCTAGTAAAAGAAATAAAAAATTTGGATAAAAAAATTGAAACACTGATGAAGAAGAAAGAAAATGATGATACAACAGACTATACAAAAGTCATTGATATTGTTAGTAAACTAAGAGCTTATTTTAATTTGAAGCAAAAAAATACAGATGCCGTTGAACGTCTTGAAAATGATACAGAAAAAAAGGAAAAATTAAAAGACAATATTTATTCAGTAAAGAATGATATTGAAAAATTACAAACATATCAAAATCGTATTTACAATGAATTGATTCCAGTTTTTGATAAAATGCATCAAGATTTACCTTCAAATGAAACATTACATGTGCAATCAATTGTAGAACTTGATATTTCAAAATGGAAAGTACAAACAGCATTGAAAAATATAAAAATCATATTTCAACAATTTACAAAAGGATTTAATATTGAAAATGATATGAACCAAATTATTGAAAATTTAGAAGATACAATAAACACATTGATCAGTATTTATGATCAAATTCAAAATTTTCAACAGGAAAAAAAACTTTCTGCTTACATAAAACAATTAACTAATATTAAATTACAAAATTTCAATTCAAAGGACAAAATACTGGAAAATTCTGTACTTGAGACACGTTTTATCATTCGTATTAATCTCGCTCTAATTCAATATGAAAAAATTTTTAACTCATTCAAACAATTTGTCTTTCCATTTGCCAATAAATATATGAATGACATTTATAAACCTTCAATTTTTGAAATATCGACAAACATTAGTTTAAATTCAATTCATCATTGGTTTGCAAAGATAATTGAAAATGTTTATAAAATTAAAAACAAAATTAACACAATACAAGCGACTATTGTTAAAAATAGTAAATTTAACGAAAAATTAGAATACGGTAATAAACATCAGGGTGAATTTTATTTATGGAAAAATGAAACACATTATAATATGATAACAAATCTTTTGAATGGTAATGAAGTATTATTATTTCCCGATGCAAGGAAATTTCCTCATTTTGCGGTGAAATTTAAAAAAATTAGAATTAAATTTTTAACAAAAAATAATAATGAACAAAAACAATTGACAGAATTATTAAATTCATTAGAAATGAAAATGACACATGAGGGTAATTCTTATTATACTTGTGGAAATAAAATGTATCTTATTTCACATTCGCCAATTACATTGATAAAAACATTTAATGAAAGTTATCAAGGTGAATCTGATTCTGTGCAAAAATTGGCAAATGGAGATGATTTAGTGAGTCCATTTGCAACATGGCGTGTAAAAATTAGTAGATCAACTGGTGGTATTGAAAAAAATTATTTTGCAAATTTTCAAAATAAATTAGATTTAGTTTTAGAAGGAATTGGTACATATATTCAAGTTACAAATATCGATGTTTGTAACAAGAATACAAATTTAACTGAATATTATGAAGAATATATTCCAATAGTAAATTTTGACAAATGAATAATTTTTTATACTCCAAAGAAACGAATGACCTTTTTTTAGTATATAATATTTATTTATTGTAACATTTCTAGTTATTTAAAAAAAAGAACATATAACATAAAAAAAAAATAAAAAAGATTATTGATTTCCAAATCATCAAATTATAAATTAAGAAAGTGATGAAGCACCCCTAGTGAGAAACCAGCTGGCAACTTTTGTAACAGCCATTTTTAAAAAATTTCCAAACGTATCGTAAAGATATTTTTTTCTTTCTTCATTAAGTTTTTGAATATCCAACAAATAGGTATTTAATTTTTCTCGTTCATAATAATGTCGTATTCTTTCATTTTCCAATAATTCCTCTGATTTTCCTTGTGTTATTTTGCCCAATTCGAGAGAAATTGAAATCATTGATTCACTTAATTTTATCAATGATAAATTTAAAATTGACTGAAGATTAATATCAAAAATATTACTCTCCTTTAATTTCAAAAGTTTATCAATAATTTCCAAAAATTTGGCTTTCTCAAATAAATTTTCTTTCTCAATATGTGATTTAATTTCAGGATCAATTGATTGAAGAATTTCAATTTTTTGATGAAAATCTAATGATACATTAAAAGTTTTATGAATTTTTAATTTAATATTATACAAATCATTGTAAATTATTTGTAAATTATTTAATGAATCATTATTGTTTTTATCAATTATTTGTACTCTATTTGAATGATAATTAAGAGTTTGTTCAACAATTTCTTGTAATTTAATGAATGATGATGTTGATGATAATGATTCACGTGCTTCATATAAATAAAGCATTGATTCATCCGATATACTTGGACTTATTTTTGTTAAAATTGTTTTTTCAGTACTTTTAGAATTTTGTATAGCTTGAAAAATATTAATATCAATTTCATTTGTTATTGGACCAAGTTTAGCTTTTTTAAAAAAACCAATATGCTGATTATTTAAAACTAAAAATCGTACAAATTCTCTTAAATTTTCAGATATACTCATATTAGTTGTTGATAAAATTTTTTCCCTCAATAAATCATTGATAAATTCCATATCAATTGGAACATCATGAAAAGTATAAACTTTTGAAAAAATCACTGATATACTTCTAAAATAATAATTTAATTCATCTTTAAATAGATTATCAACTGCATTTAATACTGTTAAAAATGGTTTAATATTGTCATGAAGTATATCATTAATATCAATGACCAATAAAATTTTTAATGATTGAACTTTTTGTAATAATTGATAAATATAAATAGCATTTGTTATATCTTGTATTGGTCCTCGATTATCATCAAATCCAGGAGCATCCCAAAGGCTAAGACCGGGAAAATTAATTGATGACCATCTACTTGGTAATGTTGTTTTTGATGTTGATCCACTTCCAATTTCTGGACCTGGTGAATTATCAGCTTTCACAATTGATATTGCATTATTTTTGAAATCTCTCACACCAATTAATTTATTTCCAATTAGATAATTAATTAGTGTACTCTTTCCTGATCTTGGTGAACCAATACAAATAATAACATTTTCATTTTTTGCCTCAATTTCCATTATTTCCGAAGCCTCATTAATGGCATTTTTTAATTCTTGTATTTCATTGGGATTTAAATTTCTCAATTTACTCTCGACATTAATTGTCATTAATAGAATTAATGATAATAATTTTTCAATCATTATTTATTTTTTAATTTAATAACTGAAATAATAAAAAGAAAATTAAATTTTCATTCTTTGTGATAGAAAAAAAATTACTTACCATAAGGATTTTTTTTATATATGAGAATATATAAATGACACAAGAAGAAAAATTTCCACTTAATATTCTTATTTTTTTATAAAGATAAATTAATAATTTTCAAATTAGTTAAATATTTTCGAGATAGTTCAAATCTTTCTCCGTCAAGTAGTAGCCCTCACAACAAAAGGATATTCAGGATATCCTTGGGACGTCCTGGGGATATCGATTTGTTTTCGGCGGTTTGGATATCCCTGGGATATCTTAGAGATGTCCATGGATATCCAGAGGATATCTTAGGGATATCCGAATCGCCAAAAGCAAATGGATATCCCCAGGACGTCCCAGGGATATCCTGAATATCCTTGTGTTGTGAGGGAGCAAAGTGTACAATACGAATAAAGTAAAAATTTAACTTCTCTGTTTAAATTATAAATGAGAGGACAAACTATAGCAAATTATCTCATTTATTTCCCATTTCTATTATCATTCGCTGAAATATGCTGATAAAAATTAAGAAATGACGATGTTATTATTCGCCGGGGAAGAACATATTTTTTTTTTTTTTTAGAATAAAAACAAGTATATATCAAACCACTGAATTATTTTAGTCTTCTTTGAAAAGTGTAATACAAATGTGTATATCAGCTTTACAAAAAAAGAAATTTATATGTAAGTTAATTATATGATAATTTCATTAAAAATTGATAATTTCCCCAAATATTTTGGCAAATATTTTTCAATCAATTATATTTATTATTTGCAGAATATCAAAAGAATATCAGCAAAAAGTTTCAATTACTTTTTTCCTATACAATAAGAATCAATTATAAATATGACGAGATTAATTATTTCCATTGAAATTATTTTTGGACTAATTTTTATTGTCAATGGCAATAACGATGAATTTAGTCAACAAGATTTAAAATATTTAGAAAATGCTCTTCATGAATCATCAAAATATATGACAAGTGTAGTTAAGGAAGAGGATATTGTAATTTGTATTGGGGCAACAAGAGCTGGAAAGAGTACATTAATAAATTATTTAATTGAAAATAAATTAAAAGCCGAGAAAGTTACAAATTATCAACCAATTACAATAACAAAAGTCGATAGTCAATCTTTAGGACCGGAAATTGGAATTGGATCTACGTCAAAAACAACGATACCAACAAGATGGATATCAAAAAAATTACCCGAATTAGCCATTTGGGATGCTCCTGGTTTTGATGATAATAGAGGAGCAGTGCAAGATATTACCAATGCTTTTTATATTTATCAATTATTACAAAAAGTAAAATCATTAAAAATAGTTTTAATAGTCGATATTAATGATATTCTTCACGATAATATTAAACCATTTGTATCGGTTTTAAAATCAGTGGAAATTTTAATGGGTGATAAAATGAGAAATTATTTTACAAGTATGTCAATAATTTTTACAAAAGTACCAAATATTCAAGATGACATTCCATTGGATATGCAATTTATAAATGAAAAATTAACCTATCAATTTTTATCAAATAGTGAAATGCAATTATCACAAATTTCAAAAGAATTTATACAATTTCTAATAAATAATAATAATCATATTGCTTTATTTAAGAGACCACAAATTGGACTTGTTACATCTGCAATAGATGTAAATATATTTACAGTTATTAAAAATTCCAATCGAATTGAAAAAAATTCTCTAATGACAATAAATCCAAGTATTTCTGATCATTCAAAAATATGTTTATTTAAAGTTCGTGAGACATTGTATTCTGTAAAGGCATTTCAAGAATTACAAGATATTGTAAAATCTTTTATTGATAGAAAAGTAAATGATTTAAATGCAATTAATGATGCAATAGAATCTGAAAATCGTATAATACAAATTAAAAATGATTTAAATGAATTGAACACTAAATTACATAATGCTATATTTTATACTAAAAGTTTTCCAGAAAAATTACAAATTCTTCAAATAATTGATAATAATATTATTAAAAAAGTAGAAGAACATAATTTATTGGAAAAATTTAAATTAATGGAATTTGTCGATAAATTATTGAACTTAAAGGAGAGTATACAATTGGACGTTGGTATTCAAACGGTTCTAAAATCTTCCATGTTAAAAGTGCAAGAATGCATAAATTCTGCACAAACAAAGATAAATTCAATATCACAAAAAAGAGATGAGATACGAAGAATGGAGGAAGAACGAAGGCGACAGGAGGAAATTGCTAAATTAAATGCACAACTTGAGGAACAAAGAAGAGAAAATGAAAGAAGACCAAAGAAAAAGAGCTTTTGGAGACGTATTTTTGGTTGAATATAAATATTTTCAAAGATATAATTTCCTTAAATTTAATTACATTATCATTTATAAAAAGATACAAAATAAAGGGAATTAAATAAATAAAGAAATAAATTAGTTTTTATTCCTTTTGTAGATTAGAAAAAATTAATTAAATTGATAAATTTATTTTAACTTGTTCTCTTATTTTTGCCTTTAGGGAATTACCAAGAATTTATCTCATATACTAAAAAGGGGAACAAAATAATTTGTTATAATGACGCATATAAATCTAATAATACTGAGAAATGATGAATTTTATCATTATTTTTTGATAAAATAATCTCTTGACCGCTTATTCCTGAATTTATATTTGAATTATTTTTAGTCGCCTCTGAAAACTACATCGCGAATGTTATATAGTTAATATTGACACTTTATATTTAAAAAAAAAGTTATACATTTTGGTAAGTTAAAATATTTCTATTCATACATTTATTAATTCTAGACAATGGCTCATACGTAGAATTACAATTTGGGTAGAAAACTACCCCAAACGATTTTTTAATTCGTTAACTAAACTTAAGGGTTTAAAATTTGTACTGTTTAGTGTTAAGAACTTTGGAAAATAAAATATTTCAATTTTTACTAATTTTTTCTATTTTTTTAAGGTTATTATGATCAAAATAATAATCATTTGCCTAATGATTTCAATGATCAATAGTCATCAATGTGTATTCAATGAATATGATTTAAAAATATTAGAAAAAGCACTTCACGAATCGGCACAATATATGAGTAAGGAAGTGAAAAATGAACATGTGGCAATTTGCATTGGTGCAACAAGAGCTGGAAAAAGTACATTAATTAATTATTTAATTGGCAATAAATTAAAAGCTGTACGATTATCTCGAGTTCAACCAATTACAATAATAAAAGTTGATGAACAATCAATAGGACCGGAAATAGGTAGTGGATCAACATCAAAAACAACAATACCAACAAAATGGATATCAAAAAATTTACCCGATTTAGCACTTTGGGATGCTCCTGGTTTTGATGATAATAGAGGTGCAATACAAGACATTACCAATGCATTTTATCTCTATCAATTGGTGCAAAATGTAAAATCATTGAAAATTGTTTTAGCTGTTGATATTAATGATATTTTACACGATAATATAAAACCATTTTTAACTGTTTTAAAAGCAATTGAAAATTTATTGGGAAATAGAATGAAATCTTATTTTTCAATTATTTCAATAATTTTCACAAAAGTACCAAATATACAAGATGACGTTCCACTTGATATGCAATATATAAATGAAAAATTAAATTATCAATTTTTAACAAGTAGTTCTATGGAATTGTCACAAATTTCAATTGATTTTGTACGCTATTTAATAGCAAATAATAATCGTATTGCATTCTTTAAAAGAGCAACACTTGGTGATGTTACATCAACAATTGATATGAATATATTTCCAGTTATTAAAAGTTCATCAACAATATCAAAAAATACACTCAAAGAATTGCATCCAAGTATTTCAGATTCATCAAAAATTTGTCTATATGGTGCTAGAGAAAAATTACTCTCAATGTCAGCGTTTGTTGATTTAGAAAAAATTGTTAGTCAAATATGTCAAAAAAAGGTACATGACATAGGAGCATTGACTAATAATAAAGAAACAGAAGATAAAATAAGAATTTTAAATAAAGAATTAAATGTATATCAAAATAAACTCTATGATGCACTTCTTAATGAAAATAATTTTTACAAAAAATTGGAAATTCTTCAAACAATTGATATTAATATTAAAAAGAAAATTGATGAGCATAATTTATTGGAAAAAATTAAATTAATGGAATTTGTTGATAGATTATTGGATTTAGAAGAGAGTAAACAATTGGAATTTAGTCTTCAAGGTGTATTATTGTCATCAGTATCAAAAGTAAAAGAAGCGATATCATCAACTATGGTTAAATTAGGTGAAATAACACAACAAAAACATGATGAAATAATGAGAAAAGAAAGAGAAGAACATAAACAACAAATTGGAGATTTAAATAAACAAATTCAAGAATTAATTGAGAGAATGAATAAAAAAAAGAGTTTTTGGGAGCGTTTTCTTGATTTGTTTGGTTGATTCTCTAAAAGAAATAATAAATCCATATAATAATTAATAGTTATCTTACACTGAGAAAAAAAATTTAGTGTTTGCAACAAAATTGTTTGATTAGGCAATTTTGGTTCTTGTAACCAAATTTTGGTTGGCTGAAACAAAGTCGCAGAGTTATTTCAACCAAACATTTAGTTAGGCCAACAAAATTATTTGATTGAACATTTTTAAATTCCAACCAAAATTCGGTTACGACAACAAAATAATTTGGTTAACACAACAAAATAGTTTGGTCTAAAAAACCAAATGATCGTTTGTTGTCCTAACCAAAATTTGGTTGCGACAACCGATCTTCAGTTTTAAAACAGAGGTTCGATCACAGGTGGAGGAGATGAGATTTTTCAAAGTTCACAAATATTTCAATTGGATAAATATAAATTCAATGTTAAATTGATAATAAATAAATAAAAAAAAATAAAAAGAAAAGAAATAAGGTAGAATAAAATTTTTAATTTTACAAAAAAACTCTTTGTTTGATCAACCAAACATTTTTGTTGACCTAACAAAAAAAATTTGGTTGAGCTAATCAAACAAATTTTTGTTATGCCAACAAAAAACACTCAACCAAATTTTTTGCTTGACTCAAACAAATAATTTGGTTGTTTAAATACCAACAAAATTTTGGTTGCTCTGACTAAACATTTTTCTCAGTGTAATTAAAATTTAATTTTGAAATAAAATCATAATTTTTTTTTTTAAAAATAGAGCACTTATTCAAAAAATGTTAATTCTTCTTAATTAAAGGGACTCTTAACTATATTACTAATCTCGATTTATTGTTCCAAGACAAATGTATAAGAATATATATATAGATATCAATCCAATATATGCCTAGCGATAACATTTCCCGTAAAATTAATGGAAAAAGTTTTCGCCGACTCTTTTTGGGGATGAAGAAACGATAGCGCGATGAGTGTCGGGAGAGTGTAGGACAAAAGAGACAATTCGTCGGAGAATAAAAGAGAAATGTCGTGAAATGGGGAGTTACTTTTGTGACTTATATATATATATATATATATATATATATATATATATATATATATATATATATTTATTACCATTGCGAGGGAAAAAAATAAATAAGGAACAATATATCTCTTTATTTTTGTTATTGAGATAAATCAAATTCACTCCATGCAAATTCAATTTTTTCAAAATAAAAAATTTATAAATTTACAATTTTTCTTAATTTTATATTTAAAAAAAAAAAATTATATCACTTTTCTTACAGTAACGGATGTTTCATGATAACCACCCAAGAAGCACGTAATATATCCTCAATATCAAGGTAATATTACACATGAGATTCGTAATATAACGCTGTAATATTACAGTAATCTTACAGTGATCTTAAAATGTCCGCCTCAAGGTAATATTACCGGGAATATTACTGTAATATTAACGGTAATATTACAGTAATATTACAGTAATATTACAGACTGATTTGAGTTATTCATAAAGTATAAAAAACGTAAATATATTATAAGTCAATTTGGCTTGTTGGTAAAACTCTGGACTCGTGTGCTTTGAGTTCGGGGTTCGATTCCCTGGATGGGTAGATTTTTTTCGTAAAGAAATGTTCCCATAATATTACTGTAATATTCTCTTGTAATATTACCTTAATATTACGGTATAATATTACTGCAATATTACTGTAATATTACCTTAATATTAGCGCGTAATATTACAGTAACATTACCGGTAATATTACCTTGAGGCGGACATTTTAAGATCACTGTAAGATTACTGTAATATTACAACGTTATATTACGAATCTTACATGTAATATTAATTTGATATTGAGGTTATATTACGTGCTTCTTGGGCAATGGCTAGGGATATCACTTAGACTGGATATCACTTATTACTTAGTATATTCAGGGAATATACATTCCCTGAATATCCCTTGAATACCACCGTGGAATATTCCCATAATCTTCCAGGAAAATCAAAATGTCCTCATCATGGGAATATTCCATAGTGACATTCAGGGTTATATTCCAGTGACATTGAGGGAATATTCCTCGGTAACATTCATGGAATATTCCAGTGACATTAAAGGGATATTCAGGTGATATTGTGGAAATATTCCAGTGATATTGAGGGAATATTCCAAGGTTACATTGAATTTTTTTTAAAAATGTTGTTTTTAATCCTCCTGCCTTATTCAAATAACAATTTATAACATATTTCTATTATTTCAATAAAAAAAAATTCAATATAACCGTGGAATATTCCCTCAATATCACTGGAATATTCCTTTAATATTACCCTCAATGTCACTGGAATATACCCTGAATGTCACTGTGGAATATTCCCATATGATGCGGACATTTTGATTTTCCTGGAAGATCATGCGGGAATATTCCATGGTGGTATTCAAGGGATATTCAGGGGATATTCGTAGAACGGATATACAATATCCCGAATATCCGGATGCTTATTATTATTTTATTCTTTATCAATACTACTTGAATTATATATAAAAAATTTTACATAAAACTATCTTCTTCTATTTGTAATAAAAAAAAATTAATTTTAATTTAAGGTATATAAATTGTAAAAATTTTTTTTTTTTACGACAAACTGAGTCCATCTCGAGGCAGAACGATGAAAGTAATTGGTCGATAAAACAGAGATACCCGCGAAGGTATCTGTTTCTTGTTTGAATTGAATTGTAAACCGGCGCGGCAAACTTTTTCCCATATGTCTGCGAATGAAACGATAAACCGATTAAAATACAAATTTCTCTGGCAAATTTCCAATTGAGTTTTTGAGATAATTGAAGACATTATGCCGAATAGTTTTTTTTTACGATTTTAATATATTGTAGTGCTATATATAGTAAAATTTACGACACACCCTATATATATAAGAGACTCGATTTCTATATATATATATATATATATATTTATATGTGTGTGGGTTTTAAATGTCCCATTTTAGTAAGGCGCAAGTCGATGCCCACTCGTTTAATCGCCTTTACTCAATTTCCCATTGAATCTTGAACGATTTTATAAATGTTGTTTAAGTGACTTTCGTAATAATGAAATTAACAACACACTCCCGGACAAGTGCATATAACATGTGATGAATGTCGCGCCTACGATTTAAGGAAATGATTTAAAATTTTATTGCTATCCTTTCACAATTTTTACTATTAATTTTTGTTTCTTTTCTTAATAGCAACGGATATTTAATGATATCCTTGGGATATTCTAGAGATATTCATTTGCTTCCGGAGGTTTGAATATCACTATAGGATATCCAATTTAATTTTTTTTTTCTTAACAGCAACGGATATTTAATGATATCCCTATGATATTCTAGAGATATTCATTTGCTTCCGGAGGTTTGGATATCCCTATAGGATATCCTAGGGATGTCTAAACCGCCGGAAGTAAATGTCCTTAAAATCCTTAAATATCCAATGCTGTGAGGGTTTCTTCCTTAGTTTCAAATTACATATATATATAGTATTAATATAGTGTAAAAGCGGGGTTATTCAAAAAATAGAAATTGAAAGAAAATATTAAAAAAAAAAGAAATTTTAAGTGTGCAATTCTTAAATACTCTCTAAATCTGAATTAGTAAAAATGTTTACTAATTTGAATTAGTGACTCACTTTTTGCTTCTGAATTAGTTAAATTTTACTAATTTTTAGTAAAAGTTACTAATAATTAGTAAAATTTTACTAATTCTAAAGCAAAAAGTGAGTCACTAATTGAAATTAGTAAACATTTTTACTAATTCAGATTTAGAGAGTAAATGTAAAAAAAAAAAAGAAATTCTAAATTCTCGACAAAGTAACCGGCGCGATAATGCATTAACATCTCTTACATCATTTCCCAATGCCCGTTACCAGAGAAAACATTATATCGCCGATTGGAGAGACTGGATTACCAAATTTGGAGTGGACACGTACTCTCCTGCATTCCATAAGATGAGAGTCTTTTATTTATTTTCAGGTCAAAGAAGGAAAAATTACTGCAAAAGGAAATAAAATCAATTTTCTACGTATTCCATAGAAAAAATTCAAATGATAATTCAAATAAGATTTATTATAGTTGCAAAAAAGAAATATATATATACACACTATTAGAGAGAAGGTGTATTTAAATTTTTTTTTTAAATCATTTTTTTTTACGTTAGAAGAAAAGAAAGCAGAAAAAAAAGTGGAATTAATTTTTTTTTTTTTTTGTGGGCTTGGATATGATGTAATTCTTATGAGGGCCATAAAAAATAAGCTCGGAAATATTATTTTTAGAGAGAAAAGTCTGTTTGTTTGGATTAGCTATTTGTAGTGAGCCAGGTAAGTATATGACTCCTCATGTACCATGGTCAATAGAAAATTTTTAAATATTCAAAAAAAAAAAAACTTTTTCTTTCTTTTTTAATGAAAAAAAAAATCATATTTTATATAATTATGAAATTGCCTTAATTTGATAAAATCTCAATATAGTTCTCAAAACTAAAAATGTATAATTATAACATTAAAATAATATTTTATAAATATTCAAAATATTATTACATTCCAAGAGTGAAATAATTGTTGTTTTTTTTTTTAATTCTAAAAATGAGGGGATATTGTTACGTATACAGTTAATAAAATTAATTTTTTTTGTTGCATTCACATAACTAATTTCACAATAATCACAAAATATAATATAATAAATTAAAATGAGGTAATTATTAAATGATAATTTGCAATATTATATTTATCAAAACAATCATTGTTTTTGAATACCCAATTTTTTTTTATTTACGTTGACTTTACTGGATGTATTATAGCTGACAAACAGGAACGGAATAGCGGATCGACGAAATTGAACCAACTTTGGACGGAGTCGCAGAAGTGTTGTTGGACGTGTAGTTGTTACCCAAAGTGACAAATTGTTTTAAAACGAAGAAAAAAGTAACCTCCCATTGTACCTATGGATATTTTTAAAGGTAAGTTAAGTGTCTAGTGTTTTTTGTGAATTATTTGAATAATGAAAATATTGTTAATTTTTGCTGTCTTATTGATTTTTTTGTGATATTCCGCCAGATGGGCGTGCTACACTGTCTCAAGTAGACGTCAGCATTCGTTCATTTTTGTTTTTAATTTTGCAATTTTTTAATTTGCAATTTAGTAGATTTAATATTAAATGAAGAAATTGTTGTTTTTTTTGGGAAAATCAAATAATAGAGAGAAAATGCCGGGAGTACAGGAAAAGCTAACCTCAAAATTTATCAAAAGGGGGTGAGGGTTCATGCAACGGGTGTCTCCAGAAATAGAGATGATTCATAACAAGTATAAAATTGACAGTTCTCCGGCAAATTTATCTCCAATTTCTCTTATTTTTCAAATGTGATTTTATTTTTACTACATGTATTTTTGTATTATTATTATCATTATTTTAATTTTATCGTTAGACTTTTTGAAATTCAAACCATCATAATTTTCTTCAGTGTTTAATTTTGTCGTCTTTTTTTTCCCGGTTGACGAAACACGCGACATACCAAAACAATAGTGTCCCGGGAAAATCAATAGGCGGGGTGTGAGAGAGGTTAAAAAAGAGAGTTCAGAGAACGCCTGCTCTTTAGAAGAAGGGTAAAATACTTTTTTTTTTTTTTTTTTTTTTTTTAACCCTTTTAAATTAAACGCGCTAAACATCCCACGGAGTTGATTACCTCTTTTAATTAAAGATTCTTTATGGGAAATTTGTGTTAAGTGTTAAAATTTGTGTTAACAAAAAAAGAAGAGACATTGGATTATTAAAGTGTTAGTTCTTTATTTTAATATCATCTCAAATGCAGACTTTTCATTTCAAGAAGATGCGATAAGATATCATGGACGATTTAATTTAATATGTGATATTACCTTTTATATTATACTATTAAAATTGATGTTAAGACATAAGAATTATGCATAATTTTTAGCTAGTTTTTTTTGCATAATGATAATTTGAAGATTATATACTTTGCAAAAAGAAAATTGTATAATCTACTCAGAATTTTGAATCAAGTTTATAGCTTTTTGCATAATTTTTATGTCTGGGAAACAAAAAAAAAATTTGTTATTGTATTTTAATTTTGTAACACTGAGAAAAATTGATGATATAAATCAACAGAGGCCAAAAGTATGAAAATTATAGATTCTTGTTATTTTATTAACTCTCATCCTTTTGGCATAAATAATGTTGATTTAATAACAATTTTTCGCAGCGAAAATATTTTTCTGTATTTTAATTTTTGATTCTAAAATTTTGTCATATATTGTTAATTGGACGAACTTACAATAATAAACATGTCAATTGGCATAATGACCAAATTAACAAAAACAAAAACAAAAACGTTATTACTTTTTTACCATTAACATAACCTCAAAATCACATAATAAAAACTAGAAAATCTTTTTAAACACCAAAAAAGAAATTGTTTAATTAGATTCTATTAATGTTTTTCAAGATTTTGTGAAAATGAAATTGTGTTTATTTTCGTGAAACCTACTTACGCCCACGTTATTGTAATAGCCGATTCTGGTATATAGGTATTATGATACTCGGTGTTTTATATGAAATTAATTATAACAAATGTGTTACGCATCATTTGACAAATTTCAGGTGTGATTGCAAAAATGAAAAAAAAAGGAGTGAATGTACTTGTTGAAACGGAAAGTGAAGTTCCGGTTGAAATTTATAAATAGACGACGCGTGTTCTGTGTGTTTTAAGTATATCCTCCTGTTGTGTATGCTGTCTTCCTAAATAGTAGAGTACGTGCGTAAAATCTAACGCTCTTGTGAGCAAAAGAAAAAAAAAATTTACCAGAATTATTATTCTTGAGATGCCAACCAATTAACACTCTTTTCTTTTTTTTACTCTCTAAATCTGAATTAGTAAAAATGTTTACTAATTTAAATTAGTGACTCACTTTTTACTAAATCAGAAGCAAAAAGTAAGTCACTAATTCAAATTAGTAAACTTTTTTTACTAATTCAGATTTAGAGAATATATCAAATTAGCACTACCGATCCTTGTTGAAATGAAAAATTTATAAATTCAATTTTTCTCATTTTAAAAGAAAGTAAATTTTATTAATAATTGTACAAAAATTTTTGGGGGTATATATGATTTTAATCTATTAGACATGAGAGCACATTGTGATATACTAAATCGACAAGTGTATAACCTCAAACAGCTTTGTTTACATGTTTTACGCTCTATAAAGTTCTAAAACTATCTGTAAAGTTGTACCAACTCTTGATTTTATCAGCATTTTGCTTCCCCATTAAACAAATATAATCTACATCAGAGGATATAATAATTACTAATTGAAATTATAACATTTCTAACAGTGAAGAAAGTGAATCAAAAATTTATTAATTGATTAATAAATTACCAGATTTTTTTTTTTAATTTCAACAAAAAATTGAATAATATTTCACTTGTGAATCCTTGCTTATAATATTGTTTCTAAAGATGATGCAGGAATTGATTTCGTCATCACTTTGCATATCGCTTTAAATCGTAACAGGATCGGCTATACTCTCTAAATCTGAATTAGTAAAAATGTTCACTAATTCCAATATTAATAACTCACTTTTTGCTTCTCGCAATTAGTAAAATTTTGCTAATTATTAGTAACTTTTAACTAATTTTAAAGCAAAAAGTGAGTCACTAATTTAAATTAGTAAACATTTTTACTAATTCAGATATATATTAAATTATATTGGAAATTAAATACAATAAATTTCTAATTGGTTTTATAAACTCAGAATTTACTGATTTACTAAATTTACTAAACTTGGAATGATAAAATTTTTAAGTTAAAAACAATTGATTTGAATGACATTTAAAATTAGGTACCTAATCAAATATTTACAAAACAACAATAGCAAAATATTTCCATTCTTAAATTATTTTCCATTCAAATATTTACAATATTGATAATTTGTCAAAATGATAAATAGTGCAATGTTTATCATTTAAAGATTAGATAACTTATAAGCACTTATGAAATTTTAATTAAAAAAAAAAACTAATGCTAAAAGTTTATCTTTCATTTAATTAATTTACTATAACTCGGAAGAAATTAAAAATTAACTACATAAAACATTTGAAATTAATTTAAAAATAAAATTACTAATTTAATTTTGTTATTTTATTTTATACCTTTTAGCAGAAATTCGATTCGTTTTCTCAGTGTATTATAAATAATAATATTAATTAATAATAATATAATATTGAAATCAGTGAATTGATGAAGAAATATTAATATTGTAATGCGTCCCTGAACTGAATTGCCGTGGTTGTATTGAATGAGCGTATTATGCTAAATGTTGAATTTATTAATATTCAATGGCAATTTCATTCACCGTTCAAGAATCTCTAAATATTAAAGAAAAAAAAAAAAGTATACTATTACGATTACACGAGAAAATACTCTCGAGAGTTGTATTTATATTGGTATATATATATATAGTCTAAAATTAAATGCAAAACTAAAACTGTACTTCTCTGCTCGCAGATTATATACTGAATTAAAACATAAATTACTTTTTGCATAAATAACACGTTTCTACAAAACAAGATTTAGTCTCAATCACATAGAATTTACTTTTTTAATTATTACTTTATTTATATTGGTGTTTTAAATTTATATTCGTGTTTTAAATTCATATTCTAAAAACGAAGAATTTTAAAATTCTTATCAATTTTTAATTTAAAAATGCTTTCTCCTTTTTAATTTCCCTAAAATGGAAAAAAAAATTTTGATTATATATACTTTTCAACTCAATTTTTGTGTAAGAATTTTTCTTTTGAGAGCTTTAAAAAAGTTCCATATATAAATCTCTAGATTCTGGGAGAGTGAATTATTTGCCTCGAGCTGCGCTCATGAAAAATACTTTGTTTTTACTTTTAATTTCCTTTTATTTCCCCTTTTGTCTTTCATTCAAATTGAAGTAAATTCTTAATATACAGAGTATTATTAGTAAATTATTTTTAGTTTACATAATCGATAATCATAAACTTTTTATTGTTTCAACTTTTATATATATGCATAAATGTTTTGCGAATAAAAAAAAAACGTGATGAAAACATGAAAGAATTTTATTCAAGCGACGCAATGTTATTAAAACTTAGATGAGAAATCGTATTTTTCATGACAGAAAAGCGTCGCGTCGTGCGTGCTGTTGATGTCAGCTTTATTTAATTTGTCGAGTGCTTCGCGTTCATCTTATTACCATTCACTATTCGTTGACTTCATTCGAGTTTGAGAAAAACAGGAGATCGTAGAAAAAAGATATAAACTGTAACGTTTTTTTTTTTTTTTTTAATTACATTAATGTAAATATAATTAAGTTTGCTGACTTCTTTTTAGGTCAGATAATTTTTTTGAACCTTCTTTAAAATTATTTTTTCGAAGCAAAAGATAAATAATTTTCAATACCATTTTTTTTATTTACATTATAATAATATTCAAGTATTTGGTGAAAAAAGAAGGAAAATTTTTGCCAAAACTATGCTGTCCTGTTTCTTATATATATATTTCAACACATATATTTCGTTCTAAAACTGGCTCTCGTGTCTCGCTTTCATTTCAATGTGTGTTGCGTTAGAAATTTATTCTCGTCCGAGACCCAGTAGTCACCATTTTCTGGATATATAATTTTGGTTATCAGACTGTAGACTCCTTGGCACCCTCCTGCGAGCTAAAATGTCCAAAAAGGCAAAATCACATGTAATTTTGTAACCAATCGTCCAATTTATCTCCTACTTAGATCTTAACAGTGTTCCTATTCTCCTATAACCCTCATTTTGTACATTTTCTTCTTTCTTTTTCGTTGTTGTCATCTTCTTCTTTTTCAGCTTTTTGTATATATCATTCTTTCTCTCTCACGAAGGAAACAAATGCCTTCGTTATAGAATCGTTAGGTTGAGTGCTTGGAACGAGGCTTCACCACAAT